TGATAGTGGTGTTGAGTGCGAGCACGTTAATCATTAAGTGGTCCACGGATGTCAGCAGTGTTTCCATAGAAAGTCATTGTCAGAAAATTCATTCTGATTCAGGGTTAATTAGTGTAACATTAAAATTATGTGCTACAAAAATTAATTACTTGCTCGGTCAAAAAGTGTGTTAAAAAGTTTAATGCCTTGTGTCTGAGATCGCATTTCCTTCCTCAAAATCACGTTCTACCGCTGCTGCCCTGCCCAAGGATGTCCAGCGAAGCAGGGGGAGCAGCCGTTGCAGGTGTCTTCTGCCACTCCTGCTGTTCTGGCACCGCAGTCGGGAGATTTGGCTCACATTTCCCATTAGCAGATAAATGAGTTGCTCACCCCTGTTCCCCACTGCTCTGTCAAGAGATTTATAACCAGGCGTGGGCTAATGTAACTGATTTCATCTGTGAAGGTCTGCGACTGTTTTCTGTAGCACGCTGGAAAACACAGGTCGGTCTGACAGCGTCGCGGCGTGGGGGGTGATTTCCTGGTTATCGGCAGGGTGATTTCCAAGGAATCCCCTGCAAGCGTGCCACGTGCTGTCCTAAAGCAGGAGAGACTCATACAGGCTGGAAGTTTAAATTAGTAAGTATGCGTAGTAAACAGAAGAAAACCTTCTATCTCAAACTATTTTAAGCTACCTTTCCCTATGGAGTTGCCGATATATAAAATATTCTGTAGTTCCTAGAAGATGTATTAGAGCTGCTTGTCAAGAGTCTCCGTTACTGCTTTGAATGCATTTTGGCCTTATAAGAGGATAAACTCTCCAGCTCAGTGCAGGGCTGTTAAGCTGTACAAAGCTGTATTGTGGGTCTGCTGTGATGTCCTGTACAAAACCAAGCCTCACCTTGCCCAGGCTTGGCTGTTCCTCTAGCCCGGAGTCAGAGCGGCACCCGTGACCCCATCTCCAAAAGCTTGGCTTCACTCCCCTCCTTCTGTAGCCCTTTCTGAGCCCAGCTGGGTGTTGGTTGGGATGTGCATGTCAGCCCTCAGAGCAATCCTGAGCCTCTTCCCATGTCCTTGATGGGCGGGAAGGTCTGAACTTCCATTGCATCCCCTCCCGTGGTGGCAGAGACTTGTAGGAAGGCGATGGGAAGAAAACCGCGGAGGTTTGGGAGGGGCTGGAGGCATGGAAGCAGCAGCCTGTGTTGCAGAGCCGGGAGGGGGTTGGTCACAGGTGATGCCTGCCTAGATGCCCGGTTTTAATTTGAATTTTAATCAAGTGGGTGTTCTGGACCTGCCAAGGGAATGAGTTTTTTGGGGACTTGGTGTCTGAGTCACTTAGGGACTCTGTAAGTCGAAATCAGGGCAATAGTATGTTACATACTCATATTAGTGTAGTTTTTTTAAAAAACCATGTTAATTTTGTTGTTGGTACTCAATATTTCATAGCAAGACTGTGATTCTCTGTGTTTTGGTTTTGTTTTTTGTATGGTTGGGGTTTTGGTTTGGTTTTTTTTTTTTTGCTGGCTTTGTTAATTTTCTCTTGGATGTTGTAGGGCCGGGCTCTGCTCCACTGGGCGTGCGACAGAGGACACAAGGAGCTGGTTTCAGTACTGTTACAGCACGCTGCTGACGTTAACAGCCAGGTAAGAAAGGAATAGAAAGTTGAATTTGATTAATGTGTTATGTAGCCTCCTGACCAAATGTTTTGCGTGAAACTGAATTCTTGTAAAACTCTGTAGCAAGTTCTCTCATAGCACTTATAAAAGAGAAGAACATCGAAAAAAGCTAACTTGGAAAAAATAACAGAATTTGGTTGTATGAAATACATAGTCGTAAGGAACCTTTTTCAGTTCCTGTTGAAACTTCTCCCTGCAGTGAAGTTTTGTGATCACCTGGTTGTAGCTTCTTCCGTTGTGGCTTGTGGTACTGATGGCAAGAGGGATTTCCTGCGTATGAGGTGTTTGGTAGCTTCCTACATAAAGTGCATTCTTCAGTGTGTTTTTTGTAACACTACACTCTCAGCAGAATTTTGTGGACTAGTGGAAAGAGAATCCCACTTTGCCTAGCAAAAAAGCATCCAATAAATGCCTTTTTTTCAGCAGAGCACCCTACAGGGGTAGGTGATGCTTCAGGTCACGGTGTGGTGGCTACGTGACAGCTACAGCAGGATCTCAGTGCTGACCAAGAGCAAAGTCGAACAGCTTATGCCCTTTCCATCCCCAGATACCCACCTCACCCCCTTGGGGGTACAGTTTGACTTAACTGAACATACAGCAGCTTTTTAGGCACTGTAGTTTGCAGCCCGCGTGTCTGAGCAGTTTTAGGGTGCCTTAACAGACCAGGCTGTGAACTGCCCTGATCCAGCAATTGCTTTGCAAGTGGTTCATTCCAGCCAGGCAGCTTGAGCCTGCCTGTGCTCATGAGTCAATGCTCCTAAGTTTTGTCAGCTTGTTCTAATTAAGAGCTGACCTGTGTAAATGCGATCGTGTTCGGAAATAATTGTCCAACGTATTTCTGTCAAATTATGATTGACTGCTCTTTGCCCGCATGGCACTTATTAGCTTTGTTCTCCTGCTCAGTTTGGACATAGATACACCTCTGCTGACAAATTTACTAGTGAGATCTTTAGCAGCCTTGCAATAGATGCTTCAGGAATTTGGAAGAGGTGCAACCCACAGGCTTCTCAACAGACCTGTAGTGTTCACAGGCTACAAAGATCTGTGTTGGTATTTGCACACAGTTGGTATTGTTGTAAAATGGGCTTTCATGCCCTTGCCTGGGCAGAATTGCCGGTGGGATGGGTATTAGGAAGCGTGGCTCCGCAGGAGCTGGTGAGACATGTATCTTCATGCTTAGACCTCTGGATTTCGGTTGTAATGGATTTTATAGGAGTTTTCCCTTGCATAGAGGGGCAGTGGAGCCAGTACAAATGCAGGGCTTTGCCTGCCCCCCGTCAGACTAGACTGTCACCTTTCAGTCAGAGCTGGTGAGCGATGTATGGAATACATACAGGAACAGCTTTGCCTTGAATTCGGGGAGGAGTTGGATCCGACACCTGCCTGTCCCCTTTGCCCTGGCAGCCCAGGAGACGGTTCTATCTAGGATGCTGTACCACCACAGCAGGCTGGAAAGTCACTTCTCTTTGATGCTTGTCTCATTTCTTTGGAGGTAAAGTCTGACTCTTAGAAGAGGCTGAAGGGAGAGTCATCTTACTTTTTCCCTGAGCATTAATTTAATGTTAAATTCATCTTTTTTTTTCTTTGTGATGTATTGCACATTTTTCTAACCAGATTATTTTTGGCCAGTAACAAAAGGTTAATAATAGCTATAAAAAGGAAATCAATCTTTGATATTTTTTTCCCCCACCAAGGTAATAAAGGAGAACTTTTTATAAAGGTTTCTGTTTGCACATAGGTGTGTTCCCAGAGAAGGCAGACACATTTTTATTCTCAGCCCTATATAAATTGCAATAACATTTCAAGACTTCGTGACCTAATGTTTATTTCTCTTTTTTTTTTTTTTTTTTTGACCTTTACCCTGTAAGAATTGATAATCCAAAACAAGAGCAGAAGGAATTTTAAGAGCAACCAGAAGAAAAAGGGACAGGGAAAAACTCTGGCTTCCTAACAGGCTATAAGCACCGCAGCGCCTGCTACTGTACATTACCAAATGCACTATTGGTTAATGCGTAGGCTATAAAGAACAGTGGGTTAAGTGGAGGGGAATCTCTGGTGACTTATCAGTGGTGCTGTTATTTCAGAGCAATGTGCTCTCAGCAGAGGTTCCCTTCTTTGCAGGCTGCATCCAGTAACGCTGCCAGAGCCCGGTGTGTAAGCAGCCCCTGTGATTTCCACACACTGCTCAGGTCTTCAGGTGTTTTTCTGTCTCATTCAGTTTTGCAGTGGTACCTACATGTAAGCAGCATAAGAGATAAAGAATAAATTAGGGATGATGAGGGTTATGAGCAAGTAGTGAAGGAGAGAAATGTTATAGACCAATTTTTTTTTTAATTGCCTGTGTTTTAGTATGCTTCTAAAAAGTTAGTCAAACAGCACGACAGATTTATGTTCTCTTCCATTACCTTTTTAATAAGTGCTCTTCCATCTTGGCTCTCCCGGAGTGTACTAAAGGATTTAGCTGCCCTAAGCAGATGGTGATAGTGGTGCTCTGGTAGGTGAACTGGAGCAAGTCACACCGGTTCATGTGCCTTTTTCACTTTTTGCAGCCTTATTTTAGTTATCTTTGTACTATCTATTGTTGATTACTTGTAGTCTCTGGATCAAGAGGCTCTGCAAGTGTGGAGCTATTGATCTTTGTTGTTAAACAGCTTGGGAGCAGGAGGAAAGGTCACCTGCCTCCGCTCATTTCTGTAGCGTTCTCAAAACTGCTTTAATTGTGGGAATAACCACACACTCCTGGACTGCAGTGGTCCAGCGCCTGTGCTTTCTGTTTTAAACAAGGGTACTGCCGTTTCAAAAGGGTGTTTCACTAATGTCACTGAAAAGCTACAGCTATCGAGTTCTCTGATTGTTCATAATTAGCTCTAATAGCACATTTGAAAAGAGGTGATAAGCAATTGCCACAGGCAAGGGGACAGAGAAAGGCAACAGGCTTCTCTACTTTGTTGAAAAGGGGCATTTGTGTAATGGAATTAGCTAAATCTTCAGAGCCAGAGGCCATTTCAAAGTGGGTGGTGGTATGGTGTTTTCGGAGCTGTGCTGGAAATACCCAGGGCTTGGGGCTTAGTCTGCAAACAGCCTCCTTCCACTGGAACCGTTTGCCTAAAATGTAGGCTTTGAATGGAATGATGAGTGAGGAAGGGGAGTATATTCGTAACGTAAGAGTTATGAAGGAGCTTGGCAATGTGATTATAATATCCGTTTCTAGCTTTAAAATGAAGACATGAATCAGTTTTCCTTGCAGAGGATGAGCAACAAAGGAAAAACTTTTTCCCCTACGAGGAGAGTATTTCCTTGCAGTGTTTTCTCCGGCCTTGGACAGGAGGTTTTCTGGTGCGGAGGAGGCACAGAATGCAAGCCATGCAGAATTACACCCCAGCTTCGCGTTCCCCTGCAGCTATGCCACGGCATCCTCCGTGTTCCCCGTGCCGGGAGCAGCAAGCTGGCCTGGTCGGTGATTTTATTTGTCCTCAAAATTGTATCTGGTGGTGTAGTGTCAGCGTGGAGGAGACAGCAGAACTCCCCTCCACTCCTGGATGTGGAGTGCTGCTCAACCAGCTTGCAGAGGAGCTCCTCTCATGTATGTAGGGGCAAGTTAAGGCACAGTGAGTGTACTGCTTCAGTCCTATGAGGTGGGACAGGATGTGAGCCTGGTCACCTCCTCCTGTAAGAGCAGGGCAAATAAGGAAGCTTGAAAAGAAGGATTCTGTGCTCTGGTGCAAAGGCCCCACGTGATGGTTCATCCTATGCAGGTATACAAGTTACTAGTGCTGGTTTAAGAATGATGAAGGGTGTGGTGGTATAGTAATTGTCCAATGAGAGGGAGAGAGACAAATGGCATCTCTCATTTGTGACATCAAAACAGTAGACCATAGACTCTCCTCCTGGACTTGCTGTGGTTGCACTTTGTTCCATTTGTGGGTACTCTTTACTCCAAAATAATAATCTGTGTGTTCAGGGCATGCCCTTGGGAATGCATAGGCAACTATCCTGGAGTGGTTGCTGCTCTGAAAAAGCTTTTCAAGCCTTTCTGGACATGTTAACAAGTCTTAAAAGAAATACTGTTAATTGTAAGTGGAACCGTATCACTAGACACACAGGTTAATTAAGGGCTGTGTACGTATCTATGTGGTAGAGCAGGTGGGTTAAAATGGTATCTAAATAACTTTTTATGATTTTTAAGCTACATCATTGTGTAGTTCTATTAATCAGCCTATCAATGTTATGGTAATAATTTGTGTGTGATGAAATTGTGCTATAATTATGACTACAAAGATGAAAAAAGCTACAACTGATCTTCAGTATTTATTTGCTGACCTTTCACTTTCTAGCAGAGGTGCAGATCACTGCACTGAGAATTTAAACTGCTTGTCAGCGTGTTCTCAGTGGTCACCCATGGACCCTCAGGGGTTTGAGAAGGAAACTTGAGAACCAAAGCTGAAAATCATCAGGTTAGGAAAGCTGTTGCTACTATATGTGGATTTTATTTTATTCATTCATATACGTCATTAATTTTAGTGAAAAGCATTTAGCATCTTTGCTGTCTGTAAAGAGGATTGGTTGCTCTTTGGTGCCAAGGTCACATCTGTATCTTGTACCCATTCACGCAAGGCTGCACAGCTCTCTGAAGTCATGCTTGTTAGCATCTGACTTTGAGTTCGCTGGATTTTTTTTCTTTTTTTCCTTTGTCCCTAAAAGACATCTAGAGCAGCAGGAGGAGTGTGGCTACCTCCCCAGCTTATCTTTTCCCCAGTGCCCTGCCATGCACCTCTAGCAGACAGCCGCTTCCCTCCTCTGTTTGCATGCTAACACACTTGTGAGTCAGAGGGTTCTGGAGACAGGGACGTGGAGGAGCTGTCCCCTTGTAATACCTTCACTCACATCCTCATTGGAGAGAAAAAAAAAAAAAAAAAAAAAAACCACAAAAAACAACCCACAATCTTGTCAAATGAAGACAATACAAA